ACATATATATGTACATATATTACACATATAGGTATATAAGTTATAAAATATATATATTTTAGCCATCTGAAGAAAGAAAACACTGTGGGCAAGAGAAAAGACTGGGAAAGGTACTAGCCAGACTAAACTATTTGCCATTCCTTAAATGTCTTGCATTTTCTGAGGCCCCCATATACTATCCCCACTGCATGAAATATTCTTTTACCTTGCCACCTGGAAAACTTGTGCTTATGTGCAGACTTAATTAAGGATTGCCTTGAAACCATGTGTTTGCTTATTCTCTCCCACTTTCCTCTTTCTGGATAAGGACCAGGCATTACTCAGTTTGATTCTCTATTGCCTAGCAGAGCTGATGGCTCATAATGAGCACTCAGATACTTGCTGAATGAATAAAATAAAATGTAGCAACCCAGACTTTTCAAAGCTACCTCTAGCAAGAGAGAAAAGGAGAGAAAATGTTCAGAGATGGCTTTTGGAATATGGTAATAAATTATATTTCTTGGCTTGGGGAATCGTACACTAGAGTTCATTTCATTATTGTTCTTTAAACATCATATACATTTTCTTACTCCTTTATATATATTTCACAATAAAAAATTAAAAATCAATCAAGTCAAAAGTACTTACCTCACTTTGTGGCTCCTGGATAACTTTATAGAGAGATGAAACTAAAGAACTCTTGTCTTTCAAATTTGTGGCATAATTTGATAAAGATGTTTCTGGTAATGTCTAAACAAATTTAAAAAAATACATTTTATTTTTATGAAATGTCCAGAATAGGCAAATCCACAGATGCAGAAAGTAAATTAGTTGTTACCAGAGACTGCAGAGGGGAGAGGAAGATTAGGAGTGACTAACAGGTGTAAAGTTTCTTTTTGTGGTGATAGAAATATGCTGGAATTAGATACTGGTGTTAGCTGTACAACGCTGTGAATATATCAAAAACCAACGCATGCTTACCTTAAAATAGTAAATTTTATGTTAATTATATTTTGACAAAAATTCAAAATAAAACAAAAAATGTATTTTATCCTCTTATCATCAACAAGAACATAAACTAACATCGCACTTCATCTTTGATCATAGTTTGGGATTAGAAATATAAATATAGGCCAGGTGTAGTGGCTCATGCCTGCAATCCCAGCACTTTGGGAGGCTGAGGCAGGAGGACTGCTTGATCCCAGGAGTTCAAGACCCGCTTGGGCAATATAGTGAGACCTTGTCTCTACAAAAAATAAACAAAATTAGCTGGGCATGGTGGCATATGCCTGTAGTTCTGGCTACTTAAATGCTAAGGCGGGAGGATGGCTTCAGCCTGGGAGGTCAAAGCTGCAGCAGCAAGCCATGATTGTGCCACTGCACTCACTCCAGCCTGGGCAACAGATTGAGACTCTGTCCCAAAAAAAAAAAAAAAAAAAAAGAAGAAAGAAGGAAGAAGAAAGAAGAAGAAGAAAGAAAAGAAGAAATAAGAATACAAACTCTGTGTAAAGCTGAAGATATATTTCTATAGCATTATATAAGTATAAATTTCATTAGCATATTGACTCTGCTCCTTAATATATATGTCATATAAAGATCTGATAGCATGTCAAACCTAAAAGCCATAGATCACCTGATCAAATTAACTCCTAAGTTACATACCATGACTGTTTAGCATGGGAAGGCTGTTCTACTTTACCAATTGAGGGGGAAATTCAGCCTTTTCAGAGCTAGAGAAAAAGATATCCACATGCCAACAAACTAATTTTCCTAATGCCATTTAAAACATGGACAATGAGTCACAGTTTGCCAGCACCACCTATTCAGAACGAACACCAGGACCAGAGAGGAATGGGAAGAGATAAAACTCCAGTAGTAAGTCAGATGATTTTGAATAAAAGAGTAGGGAAATCTGAAACAAACAAACAAACAAAAAAACATTTCATTATTATAAAAATAAAAGCCTTTCATTCTAGAGCACACCTCCTCCTCGGCAATATCTGTCTCGTAAGTCATTATTCTATCTCACCCAAATTACTTCCTTCAACCAGTCAATGCCAATCCTGCTATAGATACCATTTTTCTGGATATTCCTAACTCATTTTAAAATATACATTATTCCCTTTATGTCTCATATCCTAGCATTCCAAAATTTAATATGGGTTATGAGTATTATATATGTGTATGTGTGCACAAATTAAACAGCATAAATTTTTACAATGAACATATTTGATTCATTTTCACTTTACTAGGAACTCCTTGAGGGCAAGAACTGCCTTATCATCTCTCCATCCACGGCACTGGGCACAAGGCCTCATACTCAAATCTTTGCTGAAGGAACTTAATATAGAAAAAGAAAATAAGAAATAAAAATTGCCGTTGTTTATACTTCGACAGATTCTTTAAAAGTGGGTCATATTTCACCTTAGGATATATAAGTGAATAGAATCTTTTTGTTTTTTTTTTTTTAGTTTAATAAGAGAGTTTTATTTACCAGAAAGTTAAGCAAATGTGAACTATTTGGAAACCTTTCACAATTCTCCAGAGGGGGAAGAAAAAAAAAGTTTCACTGCAACTGCTTACATAAAGAAGAGATTAAAGCATTTTTCAATATTTCAAAAGCATGACACAAAAATCTCCAGGCAACATTCCATTTCTGTCATTTGATCAAGAGGAACCTAATACTGGGGAAATTATTTAAAAGGAAATAATAGTCAAATAAACACAGATTTCTAATCCTCTGAATAAAAATAAATCTAAATTATGTATAAAATGCATTATATATATTTAAAACATATTAATGTCTAATATATCTATGTATATATGTCTAATATACATGTCTATAAATTTTAAGAATAAATGAATCAAAATATAAATCTTTTGAAAATTGTTGGTGAACAGAAAGATTATAATATACATATGATCTAGGCAAAAACTAGAACATTCATTAAAACATGAATTACAATGTTCAGCTTATATACTAGCTGACTCTCACGAGGTAAAATATTTTCTGTGAAACAGCCAAAGGCAAAAAGACAGTTCTTTTATGAAAAGACAAGCTTTGGAAAATACCATGGACCTAGGCTACCACTGCTAAACGAAAGGAAGGGTTTCCTAAAAATTAGTGCAGTAATATTACATTTTATTCACAATTCTGTCATTATTTCGTTTAATAAATGTGGGAACAGTTAATTTTGTCAGTAGAGAGGGAGAAAATGTAAATGTTGTATTCATAAATGGTGCTTTAAAAAACAGGATCTAAAAGAGCCAAATGACTTTAAATACTATTATAGCAAAAACATGTAAATTTTCTTGCACTGTACTTGTTCAAAGGTACTGACCTCAAATACCAGTATAGCTTTCTCACATTTCAGAAGGTAAAACTGGAGTTGAAAAGTAATAATGGCAGGGCCGGGCGCGGTGGCTCAAGCCTGTAATCCCAGCACTTTGGGAGGCCGAGGCGGGTGGATCATGAGGTCAAGAGATCGAGACCATCCTGGTCAACATGGTGAAACCCCGTCTCTACTAAAAATACAAAAAA